ACATTTATTGTTTCCAACTTAGCAATTTTGTTGCTAGATTTAGCAACTTTTCATACTAACCTAGCAACTTTTTTTTTCAAACAGCATCTAGCAACAAATTTAGCAGTTTTTAACATTCATTTGGCTACTTTTAGCAAAATTTAAAAAGTGACTCAAAAGAGCCGTGGCCCGTGGCTGCAGGCTTCAATCAACTGCTTGCTCAGATTGTTTTTCATAACTGTTAATTTACCGATATTTGTTAACATGTATGATTGTTAGTAGTTTAGGTGGCAATAAATTCTAATAGTGCTATAATTGTTGTCACTTTCACAAATTTGTTAATTTCACAAGTTAAAATAAGCAAGTATACAAGCTGTGGTTGTTTAAAAGAATGCAACCGTTCCAACACAATCTCACGGCAATTCGTAACTTTTTGATTTAGTGACTAATTTGTATGAATTCGTACAATCTAATTCATACAATTTAGTATGATTTGCTAATCACCCAATGACGGGTTAGGGGTGGGGTTGGGTGCCATGCCTCCTTTTTAAAATCGTACATTTTCATATGACTGAACTTGTACGAATTTGTACGAATTAGCCACTAAACTGACAAAATGTAAAATGCTTACGTTTCCTCGTAAGATCAGGCTGAATTGTACATAATCAGTGTTATATTTAAAAATGTAAAATTCTCATCAAAAGTGTTTGTACCTCCATAGCAAGATTTTCTTCCCACACTATCAGCATTTGCTTGGCCCACATGCCGCAGTGAATCACGGTACATGACTGGACCTAGTCTGGCTTCCATACAAGCGGCAAGCATGGACCATATCTGGGCCAAGTTTCAGTCAAGTTATTAACCCATAACTGGCCCTTAACTGGGCCAGATATGCCCATGAAGCATTTCGCTTTATGGCTGCGCTTTTTCTTGAAGCGACCTGATTGATAGAATTTTTTCTTTGCTCAAAAATAATTTAAATGTATTTAAAAGTCGGCAAGATAGGACAAACTTCTGTGGCCCACATACATTTAAACATCTGAGCCAAATTGATATCTGGCCCAAGTCTTGAGTTCCACCTGTAAGACATTTGATATCTGTTTGTATGATGTTTGGCCCACATGCTGCATGCCAGTGCCGGACGAATGCCTGCTGTGCCAGCTTTATGCCAAATCTGGGCCAGAATTCTTTGCTACCTGGGTATTATTTTTTACAAAGAGTCAACTATATTTTTCATACAAATCTTAATAGACTTATTTTAAATAATGTTTTTGCTGAGATGGCTAGTCAATTTGAGAAAACAATTATTTTGTATACTACATAAAGGTGTGGTTTTGAGTTGCGATTATGCAATGACGTCATCATGAAAAGTAATTGGTTAATAAGAACCTATTTATTGTCCATCTAGATTTAATGTTTTAATATAATATAATATAATATAATACACGGCGCCTCAAAGTGTAGAGACATGATGGGCTTACGCTTGTCAGATACTATGTGATGATGTCACTGATATGCAAATTAGTGGGTGGCGTCATCTGGCAACATTCAGCTACTTGTCATTGGAAATAGTTGGCAAAACTGTTCAATTCACCAGCCACTGAGGCTAGTAGATTTCCAACATTACTGGCCACTCGCCATTTTCACTTCAATTTTGTTGTCGGGAAAATGTTTTTTAAATGCATAAATTTGACCCTGACAAGCTAAAATTACTTGATTTAGACATTGTGTTATGCAGGGGCGCCCCCAAGGGGTGGCCAGGGGTGGCCACGGCCACCCCTCGGTAAACTCTGGCCACCCCTTTGGCCACCCCAATGTAATTTTGCTGTTGACATAATTGATTTAAATGAACTTATAAATTTCCAATATTTAAATAAATAAATAATTAAAATGCAATCACTAAATTGTTGTTGGTGTTACTGACGTAGCTCTCCCCCTCTGGTTCAATGCTGGTGAAAGCAAACTGACGCATGCGCGCAGAAAACCATTCCCGCGCGCCTCACGCAGTCCTGTGTGAATCCCGGTTGGTTGTTTGCATGCACACCGACAAAATAGGCACCGCTCATGCGCCGTGAAACCGAAGTAACAGCCTTTTGTGCAGAGGTGTCGGCACGCAGCGAGTTTTGAAAGTCGACTAAAGTTTATATAATATGATGATGACGATGATGTTACTTTCACTAAGCATGCCTTTAAAGCAGAAAGGAGGGATAATGAGTCAGGGAGGTAAGACTTCATAACATGATTTCTCAGCCATGATCTGGTCTAAGACCACTGATAATTCTATAATACATTTTTTGTATTCTTTAGAATTGTCATAATTCATTTTCATGCAAAAGGTTTCTTAAGTGATCTTGGCATATCACTCCAGTTGTTGTTTTCCAGTAATATTTAGAATTGATTTCTGTTATTTATTTAGAATAATAATTGTATATTAATATGAATTGTATTTATTTAGAATAAATATAAATAAATTGTTATATTTATTGAATAACAAATCTAACAATTCAAAAGAGGTGGGGGGTGTATAGGGTGGTTCGCCCAGGGTTTCATTTAAACTAGAACCACCACTACCCTCCCTGATCGTCGTTGACAGCACGCACACACCTTCAATAGACAGCAATGGCTATTTAATATTTACCTTAAGCTACAGTATATCAATAGAAGAAGCTGCATTAATAAAATGGCTCAAAAAGCAATATGGATAAATAATATTATTAGGTATGGTGAGTGTGTATATAGTAATGCCTTTCATTCAGTTTGTTCATTTGTTTGGGTAATTAATAAACTCATTATTCTTTCATTCATTTTCTTTTCGGCTTAGTCCCTTTATTAATCCAGGGTCACCACAGCAGAATGAACCGCCAACTTATCCAGCACATTTTTACACAGCGGATGCCCTTCCAGCTGCAACCCATCACTGGGAATAATAAACTCATTAATCTTCATTAATTTTAAACATGGCATATACCGTATGCTGTACAATAAAGGCACGTAAAAAAAGAAGTTATTTATACAGTATATGAAAAGGGTTTTTAAACTAAACATAGATTTTTATTTTGTTTGCACATGTACTTGTTGAATTATTTTAAGGAATAAATAGCAATATTTCAAGAAGAATTAATTAAATGAATAAAAACTACATTATTTCATTTACCAGAAACAAAAATATAACATTACACTGAATTCATAATTTTTTTATGTGCCACCCCAAGATTTGGTGCGGCCTCTTCTGGCCACCCCTAAGAAAATTTTCTGGGGGCGCCACTGGTGTTATGCCACATCAATCATTTCACTTTTTTGTGTGTGTTGTGAACGAGCTTGCTTAATGAGCATAAGCAAATGGGTTGTGTCGTATTGCAAATCTCGAAATGAAAGATTTACCAGATTTATCTCTGACCACACCAAAAATAAATCATTATTTGTTAACCACACATTATAAATTATGTGTCAAATAGCCAACAAAAATGTCACATTATGCAAAGTACAAAAAACAAACAAACTATAAGACAGAGGAGTGATTATAGCCTACAATAGACCATTTCAAGGGATGTTTACAAAAACAGTGGTCCCAAGGTTTCCAGTTTTATATTTTTTATTTCTGTAGCTTCCAAGAATCCAAAAGAGCCACAAATTAATAAATGCCGTTATGATAGCTCTTTTGACATTATGTTATGTTTGAATTGCCTCTTGTTACAGTTATAAAATAGTTTGATAACAAGCAGGAAATGTTCTTGGACCAATAACATGACCACACTGAAACGCTCTATCAGTGTTGTGGAGTAACTAGTTACATGTAACGGCGTTACGAAATTTAATTACAAAATAAAAGTAACAGTAATGTGTTACAGTTACTGAGAAAAAATGTGTAATTAAATTACAGTTACTTGTGAAAATGTTAAAGATTACAAATGGGGTTACATCTAAAATCATTCTTTAAAAATCTGGGATATGTTGAATAATATTAACCAGCCTTGGCTGGTTTTAGCTGGTCAACCAGGCTGGTTTTAGAGGGGTTTTGGCCATTTCTAGGCTGGTTTTCAGCCATTTCCAGCCTGGTCTTAGCTGGTCAGGCTGGGAGATGACTAGCTAAAACCAGCTTGACCAGCCAAGCCAGGCTGGGAGTCTAGCCAAAACCAGCTATGTCCAGCTTAAACCAGGCTGGTCAAGCTGGTTTTAGCTGGATTTAGCTGGTCATTTTCCAGCCTGACCAGCTAAGACCAGGCTGGAAATGGCTGAAAACCAGCCTGGAAATGGCCAAAACCCCTCTAAAACCAGCCTGGTCAACCAGCTAAAACCAGCCGACCAGCCTAGGCTGGTTTAAGCTGGATTTTTCAGCAGGGTATAAATGCTTGAAACTGATTTAGTTGAAAATGTCCATTAGAAACTTAAAAGTATTCAAAAAGTAATCAAATGTAATTACTTTACTTTTATAAAGTAATCGAAAAGTAGTGCAACTTATTACATTGCAAATAGGGTAATTTGTAATCTGTAATCTATTACATTCCCATATCCTCCCCAACACTGTGATCTATAATGTTATAAGACTATACTGAGAGATATTTTTCACTTTTAAAATATTTACTTTATGGTCATTAAAGTAAAATCATACCAACTAAAGTAGAAAAATAGCCAACGTAGTAGGCTAAATCTTATTTAATTTTTTTTAATCATTTTTTTGGATGAGGCTATCCCATGGTAACTTCCGGCCGGTAGGATGCAATCAAGAATGCTGTTTTCAACATGCAGTGCGCCCCCGGTGGCCAGAAAAGGCAGTCCAACAGTCGGCGCTCCATCCCGCATCTCACCCGCAGGACTGACTGACTCTCCTCCTCATCCTTACAGACAGGGGTAGCGCAGGGAGGAGGACGCATGAAGATTTTTGGAAAATTGAATCAAACGCTGTAAGGGACAGCTTTTAGATATTAAGGGTCCTGCCAGACCCAGTGAAGACTCCATATAGGGTCGAATACATCCGTTTTTTTCATTCACCGTGAAACAGAGCCTATTATTTACTCCTCAAGATGGGCAATCGGGGAATGGAGGACTTGATTCCTCTGGTAAACCGAATGCAGGATGCCTTCTCAGCCATCGGACAAAATGCCAACCTGGACCTGCCTCAAATCGCGGTGGTGGGCGGTCAGAGTGCTGGGAAAAGCTCGGTTTTGGAGAACTTCGTCGGGAAGTAAGTGAATGGTGACAAATTTGACGGGTGGCATATATCACACTATGCGCCTCATGCCATCTGCTATCCCGTATCATTAATTAACGTTACTCGCAAGCATATTCACTGCATTTATTTAGCGTAGCCCAATGCATGTGCGGCAAAACCAACGTTTATTTATGACTGCAGAGGTATTTATTAATGGCATCAAGAAGCTCTTGTTTATGTTTATAAATATGGGGTTTCGTTAAGGTAATAACACTGACGAAATAAACCTGTTTTGGCTAGTTTAGGCTATTTAATGTGGCCACAAACCTTGCCTCAGTCATATGTAATCGCTTCTGGCAGCAGCCTCGTGAAGAGAGTGACAGTGACAGAGAATGATGCTCATGGCTGACGGGTGTGTGTGTGTGTGTGTGTGTGTATGCGTGTGTGTTCATCATGAAGACTAGCTTTTTATACATCATACACGCCAGCGAGCTTATTTATTAAGAAGAGAAAGGATTTTGTATGACATATTTTGTTGTTGTTGTACAGATAGATACTAGCATATAGGCTAATGTTATTATCTTTTCATTAGGTTGTCTTCTGGGTTTTGTTAAACAAACACTCACACACGCTATATAAAGGCATTTGAGGCAGTAACTTAAATCAAAGGTTTAATTTTCACCGGCCTCTCGTCGGATGTCAGAGGGTATACAGTCCTATCGTCTTCTATCCATTCGTTTTCATCATCACTCTACTCAAAATCCTGAAGGAATGCCAATGGAATTTCGTCCATTGAAGCTAATACAAAGAGAGCAAGAGTTGTTTAAGGGAAAAAATAATGATTATATTAATACTCAGAAATTATTTTAAAATGATATTAATAATTTTAATTAAAATTAATAATCTTAAATTTACATTCTGGGTGACATAGTGGCACAGTGGGTAGCGCTGTTGCCTCACAGCAAGAAGGTTGCTGGTCTGAACCCGGCTTGGTCAGATGGCATTTCTGTGTGGAGTTCCTCTCGGTGCTCCGGTTTTTCCCCCACAGTCCAAAAACATATGGCATAGGTGAATTGAATAAGCTAAATTGGCTGTAGTGTACAGTATGTGTGTGAATGAGTGTGTATGGGTGTTTCCCAATAATGGGTTGCAGCTGGAATGGCATGCTGTGGTGGCCCCTTTTTAATAAGGGGTCTAGGCCGAAAAGACAATGAATGAATGAAATAAACATTCTGTTGTCAAATACAGTTGTCCCTAACCACCGGTCCGCGGAACAATTGGTACCGGGCCACATAAGAAATCATAAATTATTTCTGTAGAAAAAATTCCCCTCGCGACTTGGTTTCTTCCACTCACTCCCGCCATCTCACGTGAAATGGACTATGCCAAAATCCACCCCAAAGTGGGAAGAACGATCAGTAGAATATAGCTCAGTGGAGGTTGTTGATAGTTTAAAGTTATAAAACAGGTATTGTAGGGTCCAAATCAGCAGAGCATTTAAGGATTGTGCATATATGTGTGCGTGCATCGCTAAGTAAGCACCCAAAATCATTGCAATATGTATCTAAATGGAGTTTCACATAATCATACTCATTAGGGCTGTAACATGCCAATGCATACATTTAATTCGGCTATACAGTTGTATTATTGTTAATATGTTCGTCAGTTGAAATGTTTGGCACAGATGTTATGTATTTGATGCATATAAACCTTGATTGAAACATAATCAGACCGCGATAGTGCAACTAGCATATGTGCACTGAGTTGTTTATGATTAACCTGGATGCACTAGCGCAGCAGCATACTATACTATACATGAATACTATTGATAGATAGATACCCCCTCACTCCCGCCCACACCGATCAGTTGTAAAATTGACAACCCTTGACCGGTTTGCGGTGATAAAAAGGTTGTGGACCACTGGTCAAATACATCACAAATGATGTAGCCAGAAGTACGTATGGCTGTATTTCATCTTTAAAACTAACGCTACGGGGCGGTATGTCGCCTTTCCTTTTTAGCACTTAACAGCTGACAATTTACAGTACCTCCGTGTGGACGGCCTTCCTGCTGTTACCAGTTTGCCCAGTAGCTCGCCGTGTTTGTCAGCGGACTTGAGGTGTAGAGAGGAGTTGACCACTATGACGGGGTTCGAGAAAGTGGGTAATTCAAAAACAGAAGTCAAAAAATAAAATAAACAAGTAAATAACAGGGTGATAATGTGGTAACATCTGAAAACATAGTAAAAAAGAGGCGAGGACTTTTGTTTTTCTGGATGGCTTTTCAAAACACTGTTGGTTGGGTTTAGGGAAGTGGGTTGGCGCTGGTCAATCGGTGCTTTTAAAAACACTATCGGCTGGGTTTGGGGAAGGAGTAGGGTGGGTCAGTCAATCGGTCAGTCAGTCAGTCGACAGTGGCCTCTGGTGGATTTAGATGAGAACAGCAAGCTCGAATGGCACTCACGAGAGAAATTTGAGATTTCAAAAAGCATACACACCTGCCTCTGGTGGATTCATGAAAAAAAAACATAGCTCCTGCGACATATTTGGCGCTCTCCAAAAATGTATATGGGGTACATTTTCAGAATGAAATAAAAAGCATGAGCCAGAGAATGGTTCACTGCTAAAGCTCATCATATAATTTAATTTTTACTTCAGACATTGTACTGGTTATAGCATACTTCAAGCTTCTTAAACAGATTTAATAATTAACATCATTTATCTCACAACAGCATCATTTTTATCTGGCTTACATCCAGATGAGCTCAGCATGTTTACAGGACCAAGGACAGTTCTTTAGTAAACTGTGGAGGTGCAACTTTGCTGTGGCCATATACTATTCCTTGTAAGAGACACTAATTCAACAGCCTACTTGTTCCAAACCTGACCGTTGAACACAAAAGAAGACCTGTAATCATTGACTTCAAAATTATTTTGTTTTTCCTATGAAAGCTTTCAAAATTCCTCTTTAGTGTGTAACAGAATTAAGAAATTCATAAAGGTTTGGAAAAACATAAGGGCGAGTAAATAGTGATTGCGTTTTCATTTTTTGATTTACTATCCCTTTTAAATGGCTGCCAAATTTTTCAGTCTGGGGTGCATTTCTCAAACAACGACATAAATGCGGCTGAACTATATGATGCATTGTTTGGGAAAAGAGACGTAGTGGAGAGTGTTTTCCAAAACCCGTTGTTTCTCTGTCACAGATCCATCATTTTAATCACGTTAGTTATAACAAAAACGTCCATAATGTCGCTCTAAGCAGGGTGGAGTAACAACTTCTTTAGAGAAAAAACATAATTTTTTTTACAAATTATATTGTTTTACTCGCACACGCATTTAAAAGAAAATCCAATATTAGTTTCAGTAAAAACATGCACTAGTTTTCCATATTAATTGAAATATATGTAAACCCCACATATAGGACCTATTTATGTTATATAAACACTGTTGCCAACTATTTTCAACAAAAAGGCGCTAAGCTCTGCCCGAAAAGTCACTAAAAGTCGCTAGATTACGTCATACTTTAATTTGCATATTACTGACATCATCACGCTCTACCATTTCTGTTTGTTTAACAGCCTTTAGTCAATAAAAGAGGTATTTATATTTCCTCTAATTAATCTCTCAGACGTAATAACCTCAGGCAAGTTCTGAAATTGTCTCTTAAATATTTGTGATAGTGAACAAGAAAATAATAAACAACCGAATTAAATTGTTAAAATAAAGGAGAAGCAGATCGGTTTGACTGTACAACCTTGACACTGCCGGTGCTAATCATTTGCCGTCGGTAAGCAGAGAGGGGATCTGCTGACAGGCTGCAGGTGGGAGAGGCTGCTGTACGAGGAGGACTGCTCAGTGCTCTGAGGCGGGGGAGGAACCAACGGCATCACCCGCAGCTCGTTGAGAAAAGTTGGGACGGTACAGTACAAATGACAGTCTAAAAAAATCTCCAGTAACACACAAAAAAGTCACTAGATTTGTCGCTAGTCGGTTTTCTGAAAATTTGAGCAAGGGGGGGTCTGAAAAGTTGCTAAATCTAGCAACAAAGTCGCTAAGTTGGCAACACTGCATATAAATTGTTAATGGTTGTAGGACTAATTTACATAGGCTATTTATTAAGAAATAAAAAATGCTACTTATTATTATTATTGTTAGTATTATTATTATTGTTAGTATTAATTTAACTAGGATATTGTTTATTTATTCATTTATTTGTTTATTTTTTTGAAAAGTCTACTTTTATAGTTTGTGTTATTATGCCGTGACTGTTGCTCGGTGAAGTGATTGGTGGTCTTTGAAAGGTGATTTGTTTTTCGTTTATTTTAATATCCTGATTACACGACATAACACATCCATATCTCAGCAGGGTCCATCAGGTTTTTGGGTCCCTTTGAAACATTTCCATTGTGTTACGTGGACATTTGGAAGTGTGTGACCAATTTGCTGCACGTTTCTTCAGTTGTTTGTGTTGTGACCAATTTGCATCATGTGTGCTGTCAAATTGACGACGATCGTTTCTTTATTTGCTGGTGTTTTTTGTAATTGCATGTGCTTTCTTAAATTGCAGCGCGTTAAGCTCTCTCGGCTACCGTACTTTTTACTACTCTGTTGCATTTCGCATACAACATCTTCAAATAATTTGTAAATATCTAATCTAATCTAGTAGATTAATCGATTATTAAAATAATCAATAGCTGCTGCAGTCCTAGTAACATTTGTTGCTGGCTCGTAAACCTTCATTGGTATTCAGCAGGGCCTTCACTCAGCGTTATTGGTCAGGCTGAGCTGTGTGGACACTCAAGTGTCTGTCAAGCTTGTCAGTCACAAACAGATCCATTGACCTACAGTACAATACGCACAGCTGTTACAGGGAGGGACTTCACAATGCTGCATGAGGACAGTTGTTTGGCACCAAATATGGTGTGTTGTCTGGCTAGATGTACAGTACTGTTCACTGTACTGGAATATTTTTTGTGGCATTTAAAGGGACGGTTCACCTAAAAATCATGCATTTGCCTTCGTGTATTCCT